CGCCCATCCCGGCGGGTGAGCAGACAAGCCTTTCAGGCTGCTGAGTGCAGGTCGGCACCGATCCTCTGTGTGGGAATCTCTCCGCTTTGCCCTCCACACCCCTGTGGCTGCACTCTCCTCCGCGGCTCCAAAGCTCCCCCACCACCCGCCACCCGCAATCTCTGCCCATGAAGGGGCTTCTAGTGTGTGGAAACCTTTCCTCCTTCACGGCTCTCTCCCACTAGTGCAGTTCCTGTCCCTATTCTTTTGTCTCGCAATCTCTGCCCATGAAGGGGCTTCTAGTGTGTGGAAACCTTTCCTCCTTCACGGCTCTCTCCCACTAGTGCAGTTCCTGTCCCTATTCTTTTGTCTCTTTTTATTTTGCCCTACCCAGGTATGTGGGGAGTTTCTTGCCTTTTGGGAGGTCTGAGGTCTTCTGCCAGCTTTCAGTAGGTGTTCTGTAGGCGTTGTTCCACGTGTAGATGTATTTCTGATGTATCTGTGGGGAGGAAGGTGATCTCCGCGTCTTACTCTTCTGCCATCTTCCCCCTCTCCCCTTTTTTTAAAAAACAATTCTCTTTTAACATTTTATGAAACAAGCAGGCAAATGGAAAATAATTCGGAAGATGTTGGTATAGGTTCAATAGGGTGTTTCTTTCTTGCTTTTAATCTTTTAACATTAGATACAACTGGAACATTTGAAGAGATTGTTAGACTTTCAAAGGCAGTTAAAAATGCCTTTTATGCATTTTCAGAAGTGTCTACAGGAAAATAAACAGTTGCTTGGCAACCTGGAATTTTGTTCTAAACTGCTTTTCTTTTGTGGAGGGATATTATTAATGCAACACTTCGTTAATTTAATTAGATTCTATTTTTAAAATATAAAACCATGTTGCAGTGAACTGACCCACCATTTCATTTAATTGTAAACCTCAAGATTTGATTACTCAGTTCTCCTTTAGTTAATTTACTTATTCACAGTTTTGACAGAAAAGCTTTCAAACTAATATGAAGAGATAGGCACAGTATAACCAATTAGGAAACTATAAAATTGCCTTAATTTTTGTTCAATCACTGCTGCAAATCCAAATTCACTTTTTTCCCCTTGTAAATTTTTCTACGCACCATGCATTTTTTTCCCCGCTGCACTTCTAGGTTGAGGACTATAGATCACATAAAGTTATAAGTCTAATGCTTGTTTACTAGTGAGAAAGGAGTGCAAGAAAAATTTTGCTTTAGAGCATGCATGGATAACATCTATACAAAACCAGAAGAATGACAAAACTATACAGTACAAAGTAAATCTAGTCAGAATTATTGCTTCATAAAGGACTGTAAAGACCACTTAGTCCAACCCTTTCATTTTCCACATTGAGTAATCTGAATCCTTGAGAAGTTATAAGACATGATTTCTCCCTTGTTCTGGTCAGTGACTTATAATGCCTCTCTTCAAACCCATTTAGAGAGTTTTAAAGAAATTAAAATCAAGATTAAGAAGGTGGGATTTAGTGGACAAAGCACTAAGGGTACATGTCAGGAGACATGAGTTCTCATCCTAGCTCTACTGTCTGTGTTGTATTATGTCCCTCACTTTTCCTCTCTAGGTTTCAGTTTTTCATTTGTAAAATGGAGGGGTTGGTTTAGATATTCATTAAAGTTCTTGTGACTCTTAAGAACTATTTTCACCACTCTAAGTCTGAATTTGGAGTTGTATACTTACCAACAATAATAATAATCAATCACACACACACGTGTGCACATGTGCATACACATGAAATTATGATATGTTGGACACTTTCATATTGTTATATTGAATTTTAGATTAGGAAGTGAATGTAAATGATCATAAAAGCTGTACATTATGACTTGGTCAATAATTATAGTGACTAGACATGAGCCAAGACCCCAAAAAAAAAAAAAAAAAAAAAAGAATTTAACTGAACAGTTGAATAAAAGGATAAATTGCTAATAAAATATCAAATAAACCATAACATCTTTTCCATTGCTTTCCATGTGTTTGATTATGGTTTTCCCCAAAGACAGATATTCAGATGTTGTACTGAAGACTCAACAAATAGGATTTAAGATTTCATAAGTTTAAAGTCAATGCAATATGAACCATGAGGCAATATAAAACATGAGTTAGAGGCTAGGCCTCTAAACTTCAAATCAAATGTAAGGAGATATAAAAATACAAGTAATAATATGAGATTGTATGTGATAAGGGAATCATATCTCTTTAGAGATTTTCATTAATTCATGTTTGAACTACTTCAGTACTTAAACAAATACATCTAGATCCCATAAGGAAACGAGTTTTGGTCCATATTTTCCCCTAAATAACTTATTTATGACACGTCATTGTGAGACTATTTCCTCATCTTCAACATGAAGAGATTGAACTAGATGGCTCCTAAATATCTTTGTAGTGCTATTATATTATGATTCTTTACCACCTTAAAGCTACTTTCTGAATTTGCTCACTGATTTTTTCTTCACTGATATCATACAGATAGCATTTGCTTGAAAGAATGCATAGATATTGGAACTTACCACCTGTTTTGGAATTAAAAATATGAGGAGACTCTTGCTCATTAATTCTTTGTGTCATTGTGTGAGACACACATTTTACCTGGAATTTCTTGTTTATATTTTGTCAACTTTTATTTTTCACAGCACAAGAATCCATACATTGTTCACAAAAATCCACTATTTATACTACCAGTAATGGAACAACTAGTAATTCAATAATTATTAGAGTCAAGATCCAGTTCTGAATTGCTAGTCAGGGGAGCTGACATAAATTTTGGAAACTTTTCCTGATACATTTTCATTTTGGGGGCACTCGTCCCTAGCAGTCCTAAGCAGGATCCCTTTGTTTAAATCATTGCCATCATATTTTCTTCCCAGTGTTACCCTAGGATTTTGGACAGGCCAATTTGAGTGATTGTAATTCAGTAATGCTAAATATGGCAAGAAAATCTCTGGGACTATCTAGAAAATATACAAATGTATACCATCATTTCATATATTAAAGCAATTTCCTTTCAGATACTTTCTTTGCCATGATTCATAGACAAGCTAGTGTGGTGAAAACTTTGCTTCATTTTGCGTTTTCCATGTATTGTAAAAAGTGCAGAGTGGCAAAGCAGAATCTCAGTGATTCCACCAAACATAGACAGTTAAATGTTCTAGGCTGTACTTACTTCCCCTTACACCTTTGATAAGGATTCACCCTGCCCCTTAGAATCAGATTTTGCTAATAATACTAGTTATATTTTCTTTTTTGTTTAATTGGGGTATAGTTGCTTTACAATGTTGTGCTAGCTTCTGCTACACAGTGAAGTGAACCAGCCATATGTATAAACATATGCCCTTCTTTTTGGATTTCCTTCCCATTTAGGTCACCACAGAGCACTGAGTAGAGTTCCCCGTGCTATACAGTGGGTCCTCATTAGTTATCTATTTTATACCTAGTGGTATATATATGTCAATCCCCATCTCCCGATTCACCCCACCCCTCCTTAAACCCCTGGTCCACATGTTTGTTCTCTACATCTATGTCTCTATTTCTGCTTTGCAAGTAGGTTCATCTGTACCATTTTCATCTATACCACTCATCTGTACCATTCCACATATGTTTTTATATACAATATTTGTTTTTCTCTTTTTGGCTTACTTCACTCTGTATGACAGTCTCTAGGTCCATTCACATCTCTACAAATGACCCAATTTCACTCCTTTTTATGGCTGAGTAATATTTCACTGTAGATATGTACCACATCTTCTTTATCCATTCATCTGTTGGTAGACATTTAGGTTGCTTCCATGTTCTGGGTATTGTAAATAGTGCTGCAGTGAACATTGGGGTGTGTGTATCTTTTTGAATTATGGTTTTCTCAGGGTATATCCCAGTAATGGGATTGCTGGGTCATACAGTAGTTCTATTTTTAGTTTTTTAAGGAACCTCCACTCTTTTGCAACAACCAATACATGCCTTCTTTTCTTTGATTTGCATTTGCAAGGGAGAATGATTTCACTGAATTCTAAAATACTGTTTTAAATCTGCCAGAGGTTTTTTTTTTTTTTTTTTTTTTCTTTTTGGCCTGTGGTACCAGTGCACCAGTAGATGGTTAGGGATTTCAATACTATTTAAAAATAATTTAGTTGAATTCACTAGACGTCTTGAAGGGCATTGGTGGAGTACAGATTGATCTATTTTTAGTACCTATTTCTGGATATATTTCTATGGTTTTGCTGGATATAGACTTCCTAGGAGGAAGAATTTCAAACTTATGCACTCATATTTTATCTTTGGGGTTTTTATTCCTACCTCTTTGTACCATTATATAGAGTTTTAAAAATTGCCTTATATTAATACAAAAGAATGTAATTATACTACAAGGGCTGGCACACTTTCAGAGGTGGTCTGCCATGTTTTCATTTATTTGGTCCCTCAGTATATAAGAAGGAGGCCAGTAAAAGGGTATAAAGACAATTTTGTGTTTCCTCCCCTTAATTCTTCTTTCTAAGGTAACTCTCATAAGGAAGGTAGCCCATTCTTTAGCAGAAGTGCTAGCAAGGATATTCACTAGAAAGTTGTTCCTTCTAGCATTTCAGAGTGCTTCCTCCGACAATGTTGTTTTAGTTGGATTTTAGTGCATGGTGAGCTCTGTCTAAAACAACTGTCCAGAGCTCTTAATAGACACCAGAACACATTAGCAAGAGTTTTGAAATTTCTTAGACAATTTTCACATTTATGCTGTTTGTTTTCTCTGTGCTGTTTTCAATTGGGAATCAGACCCATATTTAATGCTTTTTCAGATTTTCAAACTGTCCATTGTAAGAAGAAGTTATTACAGGAGTTGAAAATTACTTTGTTAAAGGATATTATTCATAAATTAGACTTGGGCTTACTTTTGGCTTGTGCTGTGCAGCATAGGCCTGTTAAAGAAATGTATCCAGTCTTCAATTACATTAAGAAATGGCCCCTGTTTTAAAAGGAATGGTTATGGTTTTAGGTATAACAGCTGCAGCAATGGCTGAGGCGATGAAGCTGCAGAAGATGAAGCTTATGGCTATGAACACTCTTCAGGGAAATGGAAGCCAAAATGGGACCGAATCAGAGCCTGATGATCTTAATTCTAATACAGGTGAGTGTCTTCAGGAATCCAAAGCAGGTGACTCTCATTGCTTTTTTCTGGGAAGGGAGAGAGGAGGGCTGAGGGGAGAGGAGAGAATAATATGTATATTTTTATTATCAGCAGTTAGTACAAAAGGAGGCTTAACCCCACCTCTAACTTGTACACTGAAATTAGAAAACTATTATGGGTCAGAATCCCATTTCAGGAAACATTGATTTATCTCCATTGTTTTGTTGTGGTGGGGTTAAATTCTAATTTTTATAGTGCTAACTATTGCACCTTTTGATTGCTAAAAGCTGTCTCCTTCAGTTTCACCTCAGGTTTCTTCATTTTTCTCTAAATAATTTGCCACTGAAATGCAGTTCTGAGAATCCACCTTTGCTTCAAGCTGGAGTACCACCTCCTTAGATAAGTGAGGGTGCTGGGAGACTTGAGGAATTATTGACAGGGGCTAAAGATGTAGAACAAGAAGAAGCAAAGAAAAAGAGATGGAAAAAGGGGAGACAAGAGAAAGATGCCTGTGGAGTGGAATGTCCCCTCCTTTCTTTGTAACTATTTTTTTTTCCTTGACCCTGTGATAACTGTATCTTGACTTGATCATAAGATCACCCCTGAGATATCTTTTGGAAGTAGGTGGGATTATAACTATCAACATACATGAATGGATAAATAAATAAATAAAATATAATTTTAGTGGGGAATAATAAGGGGCAACCTAGGATGGTCTTAGGAGCCACAGGCTTCCAATCTGCATTTGCAGTTAAATTCAATATAATGTGATAGGTAAATAAGTAGCAGCCTTTTCTCTCTTCTTTTCGGCTTCTAGAATTTCAAGCATGGTAAGTCTTTATTTTGGAGGGAAAAGGAGAGAGGAATTAAAGAGGGACATTATTGAGTCAAATCAGTATGATAGACTCATTTAAAGCTGAAGTTTTCATGGTGAATTATAGAGTGAGAATGGTCTTCAACCAGTGCTCACAATGGGGAATAAATGGAAACATGCTGTTTTACATTGTATAAGTCTGAGGTGTACAAAGTGTTGATTTGATACACTTATGCATTACAATATGATTATCACAACCATGTTAACTAACACCTCTATCATGTCATAATTATCATTTCTTTTGTGTAGTGAGAAATTTTATGATTGTATCTCTTAGCAACTTTCAAGTATTTAATGGAGTATCATTAACGCTAATAACAATGTTGTACATTACATCCCCCAAATTTATTCATCTTCTATCTCTCATGTTAACTCATTTATTTCTTACCAAATTTTTGGAAAAAAAGGAAATTTTAATATTCCAATTTTTGCAGATTTGGAAACAGAGGAACAGAGTGTTTTGGCTTTGCCCATAATCGCAAAGCTAGTAAGTGGCAGAGCTAAGTTTCAATCCCATATATGGTTAAGTCCAAAATGTTTAATCTTTTCACATTCTTCCTCCACTTCAATGTTGTTTTGCAACAGGAATTTTTTTTTAAATTTATGTTCATTTTTGGCTGTGTTGTGTCTTCATTGCTATGCATGGGCTTTCTCTAGTTGTGGTGAGTGGGGGCTACTCTTCATTGCAGTGTGCAGGTTTCTCATTGTGGTGTCTTCTCTTCTTGTGTAGCACTGGCTCTAGGCACGTGGGCTTCAGTAGTTGTGGCACACTGGCTCAGTAGTTGTGGCTCATGGGCTCTAGAGCATAGACTCAGTAGTTGTGGCACATGGTCTTAGTTGCTCCACGTCAGGTGGGATCTTCCTGGACCAGGGCTCAAACCCATGTCCCCTGCATTGGCATAAGGATTCTTAACCACTGGGCCACCAGGGAAACCCAGGAACTTTATTTTATTTAACCTCTGGAATAAAGTTGTTTTTATGATGAGGATACAGTAATAAACTTATGATCAATTTCCTAGTCTTAACGCCTCTCTTAACTGATACTGGCTTTAAAATTTTTTGATGTCTTGGAAGTGACCAACATTTTACAGGAAGCCACTTGCAAATAAAAAGAATTTTTTGTACCAATAAAAATTAGTAGGATCTCAAGGAATAACTTCTGTCATGTTTTTCTCAGGTATACCAGTTTCTGAAAAAGACTTTCTATAAAACTTCTATGTTGTTCCTTTATAATAAGACAACAAAAAATATTTTGAGAGCTATACTGGTTACCTAATTTCTAACTTAGTAAATGGTTAATTTTCCTGGTTAACTATAAGCTGACTTAACTCCAGGTATCCATCTTTGTGAAAAAAGAAATTAGTAGGTTTCAATCTATGTATGTTATACTTGATGTTATAGAAATGGAATTAGAGTAGTCAGTGTGCTTGACTTTAAATGTAAATGGATTAAACTCACCAATTAAAATGCACTGAATGGATTAATGGATAAAAAAAAATAAGATCCAGCAATATGATTAGGTCGAAACTGAAATGATGGAAAAAGATATAACATGCAAATGGTAACCAAAATAAAGTGAAAGTGGCTATAGTTATATCAGAAAAAATGGACTTTAAGTCTTAAACTATTTTTAGAAATGAAGGTCATTATATAATTATAAAAGAGTCAATTCAATAGGAAGATATAACATTTATAAATATATGTGTACCCACTGGCAAAACACTTAAATGTATAAAGATAACATTGACAGATCTGAAGGCAGAAATTGACAGCAATACAATAATAGTAGGGGAATTCAATATCCCACTTACAATAATGGACACAACATCCAGACAGAAAAGCAATAAAGAAAAATCTTACTTGAACAACACTATGAACCAAATGGGCATAACAGAAACTTACAGAAATTTCTACCTAAAAGCAGAAGAATACACATTCTTTTCAAGCACACATAGAACATTTCTCTGGATATATCCCATGTTAGGTCACACACCAAGTCTTGACAAATTTACGCAGATTAAGATTATACCAAGTATCTTTTCCAACCACAGTGAAATAAAACTAGAAATCAGTGGCAGCAAGAAAATGGGAAAATTTATAAATATGTGGAAAATAAGCAATACTCTCTTGAGAAACCATTGAGGAAAATCAAGAGAGGAAATCAAAAGAACATTTAAAAAGTATCTGGAGACAAATAAAAATGAAAATAAAACATACCAAAACTATGGAATACAGCAAAAGTAGTACTAAGAGGGAAGTTTATATTTAAAAAATACAAAGTATCAAATAAACAATCTAATTTTACACCTCAAGGAACTAGAAAAAGAACAAACCAAGTCAAAAGTTAGCAGAAGCAAATAATAAATAAATTTAAATAAATAAATAAATAAATAAATAATAAATCAAGTGGAGGATTAAAAAGCAATAGAAAAAAATCAACACAACTAAGGTTGGTTTTTTTTTGAAAAGATAATATCAACAAAACCTTAATTAGACAAAGATAAAAGAGAGAAGACTTAGATAAATAAAATCAGGAATAAAAGATCAGGCATTTAAATGGTACCTCAGTAACATAAAGGATCACACAGGACTAATAAGCACAATTATACATGAACAGACTGGATAACCTAGAGGAGACTGATAAATTCCTAGAAATATACAACCTACAAAAACTCAATCAAGAAGAAATAGAAACGTGGATAAATCAATTACTATTAACAAAGTTGAATCAGTAATCAAAAACCTCCCAACCAAAAAAACAAAACAAAAACAAAAAACAAAAAAGCCACCACCACCACCAACAACAACCCAGCTCCAGATGGTTTCTCTGTTGAATTTTACCAATGTCTAAAAAATTAACGCCAATCTTTTTCAAACTCTTCCAAAAATTGAATGGGAGGGAGTACTCCCAAACTCATTTTACAAGCCCAGCATTACACTGATAATAATTCCAGATAAAGACACTACAAGAAAAAAATTAAAGGTCAATATTACTGATGAGTATAGAGGCATAAATTCTCAATAAAATACTAGCAAACCAATTTTAACAGCACGTTAAAAGGATCATAGGGGCTTCCCTGGTGGCGCAGTGCTTGAGAGTCCGCCTGCCGATGCAGGGGACGCGGGTTCGTGCCCCGTTTCGGGAGGATCCCGCGTGCCACGGAGCGGCTGGGCCCGTGATCCATGGCCGCTGGGCCTGCGCGTCTGGAGCCTGTGCTCCGCAAAAAAAAAAAAAAAAAAAAAAAAAAAAAAAGGATCATACACCATGACCAAGAGGGCTTTATCCCTGGGATGCAATGTTGGTTTAACATATGCAAATAATCAGTGTGATACAAAAAATTTAAATGAAAGAATAAAACCACACGATTATCTTAATGGGCAAAGAAAAAGCACTTGACAAAGTTCAACATCCCTTTATGATTAAAACTCAATGAAAAGGTGTAAAAGAAAATTAACTCACAGCTTATAGACCATATATGAAAAGCCCACAGCTAACATCATAATCAGTGGAGAAAAACATAAAGCTTTCCCTCTGTGTTCTGGTACAAGACAAAGATGCCCACTCTCAACACCTTCTCAACATATTACTGGAAGTCCTAGCCAGAGCAATTAGGTAAGTAGAAAGAATAAAAATCACCCAAATCTAAAAGGAAGAAGTAAAGTTATTTCTATTTGCAGATGGCATGATCATATATGTAGAAAACTCAGCAACGACAATAAAACAATTAGAACTAAAAAATGAATTCAGTAAAGATACAGTATACAAAATCAATATACAATATGTTAAGATGGCAGAGTAGGAGGACACTGAGCTCACTTTCCCTCATGAGCACATCAAAAATACAACTACATGTGAAGCAGCTCTTTCTGAATATGAGCTGGAGATTGGCAGAATGGCTTTTCTGCAACCAGGGCTGTAAAGAGATATCCATGCAGAGTCTGGCAGGAAGGGAGGAGAAGTGATCTGGTTGGGTCCCACATCCCTAACTGGGGACCCAGAAAAGGAGGAGGATATCATGGCCTCTGGGATCCTCTCTTAGGAGTGAAGGGTATGAGCCACATATTAGGCACCCCAGCCATGGGGTCTGACAAAGGAAGATGAGCTCCCTTAGCTTGTTTGAAAACC